ACCGTTGCACTCGACGAGAGTACAGACTTAACTGATACCGCGCAGTCGGCTGTGTTTATTCGCGGCATTGACAGGAATTTTATTGTCACTGAAGAAATGGCTGTTTTAGTTCCAATGAATATAAACTAAATATGTCAAATTTGGCTGGGATTACTACGGACGGCGCTCCGGCTATGGTTGGAAAAAATGAAGGATTTGTTGCTTTAGTAAAGAAAAATAATCCTGATGTTTCTTTTGTACAGTACCATTGCATCATTCATCAAGAAAACTTGTGTGCAAAATCTGTTAATATCAAAGAAGTAATGAGTATTGTAGTAAAAACTGTGAACTTCATTAAATCTCGAGGCTTCAATCATAGGCTGTTTCAGGAATTTTTAAAGGAGATCAATGCTGAATACGGTGACATAACTTATTTCTGCGATGTTCGTTGGCTGAGCTGAGGTAAAATGTTAAAACGAGTTTTTGACTTGCGAAAAGAAATTGCCGATTTTATGCAAAGTAAAGATAAAGCTGTGCCGCATTTCAGCGATGAAGAATGGCTGGCCGATTTAGGTTTTCTTACCGACATCACATCACAACTCAATGACTTGAATCAAAAATTACAAGGAAAAAATAATTTAGTTCACGAATTACTTGATATTTTAAAAGCTTTTGAATTAAAACTCGAACTATGGATCAGCCAGTTCCAAAGAAAAATTATGACGCATTTTCCTCATCTTTCATTATTCCAGATTTCGAATATATTTCTGCACTTCAGGATCTGAATACACAATTCCATTCGCGATTCCTTGATTTTCGGAGAGACGAAAAGTACCTGAATTTATTTGCTCGTCCATTCAGTGTTTCGGTTGAAGAAGTTCCGGAAGAATTTCAAATGGAATTGATAGAGCTACAGTGCAATTCAACCTTAAAAAACAAATTTGATGTTAATTTGCTTGACTTCTATTCGAAATACGTCTCCATTAGAGATTTCCCCAAAATCAGAGATCATGCACTTAAAACTATATCACTTTTTGGATCCACATATACATGTGAGCAGTTATTTTCACGCATGAAAAACGTGAAATCCAAAATGAGGACCAGAATCACCGATGTTCACCTTGAGAATAGTTTGAGGATTGCAACCAGCAATATTAAAGTAGATATTGATAAACTGGTTAAAAATAAACAGTGTCAGATATCTCATTAACCAATTGAATTAAATTGATTTTTATTTGATGTGTCAATAATTTTTTTTTCTACTTATCTACTTGTTTTATCATCCTGACCATTGCCTATAAAAATATCCTTATAAAAATACCTATGGTGCGGCCCGCTGAGCAGAATAAATTTTTTTTTGGTCCTTGTATTGTAAAACGTTGAAGACCGCTGGGTTAAGGGAACACGATACCGATACTAATTTAGCTTGTTACTAGAAATTTACAAACACACTACCAAGCGTTTTATCATCGCACCGCTCGCCATCGACAGGGAATTCATCCCTACATACTAGAGCCTAAGTAGTCTCGGACAGTGCTGTTTCAGAGGTGCTTCCTCCCGCGTACACTTAGATTATGGTATGAACTACCTGCTGAAGTTTTCCCAAGAGACTATAGCATGGGGTTTCAAGAAGGGTATATTAAAGTTTTTTAAGTAAGTCAACATTCACGTAACACCCCTGGTGTTTTAGGCCGTCCATAGGCTACGGTAACCATTTACCTGATTTATCAGATGGATGATTGTTTGCCACCATAATAGTATAAAAAAAGTGTTTTAAATAAAGTGTTAAGCGCAGTAACAACACAAAAATGTTCCAGAAGATATAATGGATGCTACAGGGTAAGGATTGAAAATTAGTAAAATCTTTATATGTACGTAAATATGTACAAAAACAGTGTACATCATTTTTCTATCCGGTGTACATGCGTCATGTTAATCTGCGCATGCGACCATCTCAGTATACCTGATCAGGAAACGTGATAAGGAAAACAGACATGTAAGTATAATAGTGTTATTTCGCGTTTAGGATCACAGTAACAATAAAAATAACTGGTAAATTGTGAATTATAATAGACGGTTACACACTATATCTTAAATTTCCGTAGGATCCATGAATTTTATTATTTCTATATATTTTCACGTAGCAAATCTCCCTTAAATGAATCAATGTGTAAACATGATTATTCATAAGTCAAATGTAATTCAGGATCTTAAATAGTAACAGGATTTTCGTTGTATTTTTTATATATCTTCATTTTGAGATACCTAATTATATTATTTGTACCAGAAATCAGCGACTACAATACATATGAACGCGTCAAAGTAATTTCACAATTTGCTCCTCATTTAAAGGTGCTCGTTAGAACTAACATTTAATATTGTAATGTAATTGTACTATATGTTTAGCATCATTGTCATTACCGTGTTTCTATTTATGTATTACCTCAATCAAATAGTGTAATGGAAAGTTAAACACGTGAATCAACGAACTAGGGATAATGACTGTGGAGTTCCTGTATATTGTGGAGTGGAAATAAATAGGTATTTATATCCTAATATATCTATAATATCTATTCTATATTATTTTCTATATTGTCTTCTGTTATTACTCAGAAATCAAAGCTGAAGGAGTAACTAACTATCTATGAAAATTTTTATAATAAAGGGATTTTGCTCCTGGCCCTACAAAGCGCTGAGCAGCAACGTCAGGTGTCATATGGTGCTGAGCACCCATGTCACAGTATTAGGATAAACAATCAATTAGCATATCTTGGCGAATTCATCAGAACTTAGCCACAATGTTTTCTAGGGCAAATTCTTGGTTACAAGTTGCAAGCATTGGCGATACTAGGACATAGCTACTGACAATTCTCTATCGCCCTATTTCTTTACTATTTATAATTAATTTCATACCGGCATTGAGGTTTCAGAGATAGAGCATTTATTCAATTAAGATATAGTTTAGACTATGTATAAGGCCTCATATATTTTCCTCTTCAATGGTCTTTATCGTCTACTAACGGATTCGCTTAAAAAATATAAATTTCTACATATTCACATATATAGGTACATCCCTCGTTTTACGGCTGTTACTCAAAAACAGTATATTATGAAAAAACTTTGAATTTTATTATTATATATTTTTTTTTGTTTTATTTGACAATGTAGGATTCTAATGGTATAATAACACAAGGGAACAAAGGTTTGACAACCAGAACGGTAATCATATATTTATGTTACACTACCTTCATCTTTCACCCATCAAGTCATCAAAGTAGTGTGACAGGCCTCAATTAAGTTTTATTCAAGGTTTCATATTTCGCTAATATTATGCTCCTGTACACAAATCCTCATAACATATTATTCATAATATTTATATTTATCCAGTTTTTTTTTTGTTATTACATAAAGTTATGTTAGTTACTTAAGTTATGACGTTGAATTATATTTTTTCAAATGAACTCATTAGTTTAGAAGCCGATTCAATGCAAACAAACAAGCAATGAAATCTTTACTAATTATAATATGAATATACCCCGCATTACTATTGTATATTTTAACATAAAAAAATAGTTACTGCAAATATTGATGTCCTCTATAAAACTGTCATCACTTTGCCCTGTTTCCAATCATTTCCGCAGCGTATGCGATATAAGTAATTTTTGGATATTATACTCATACGAACTTTTATGCGAATCTGATTTTCGAATATGATTTTAATTGTAAAAGAATTTTTCACATTGCCCCGTATTTTCGAAGCCTATTTAATGCACACATTCAAATCTTTACTCTTTATAATATTAGTATAGATTTCGTCATGCCTACGTAAAACATTCTATACACCATTATTGCAGGCCATATATTGTTTTATGAAAATCATCTGGTTTATAAGAGTCAGAGCATTCTTTCAATCGCTTCCACTCCACATCAGCGACCGGACATTACTCGAACTACTGTAATATAAGAACCTGATACCTGATTGACTAAGTTGATTTTATTTGCTCTCATCTCATCGCGTAAAATATTTTAAGGAAAGATGCTTAAAAAATAATTGAACCAAACGTGGGGAAAACCGTTTAAATATTTTACGCGTGGAAATATCTTATTTAATTTGCATTTGATATCAACATGAGGAAGGGCCTCATGTTCCGAACAGGAATTAAAATTAACAATGAAAAACCCATTGGTTAGAAAGCGTACTATTAATCGAATATGATAATGCTAATCAGACTTCTACCCCGAGGGAGGTTTTCTGTAATTGGCATGGTAAACAAGCTGATGGCCCACCAGATGCTAAGTGGCAACTGTCGCCTACATATATAAACAGTACCACGAGCACAACGTCATTTTGTGGCGCCTATGCATTGGTATTTTAGTCCACCGTAAAATGTCATACATCCGTACCTGTACTTTGTAAGATATGTTTATGTTTAAAAAGAAGATGCTTGGCGGCTAAAATAATGCACACAGATTTTTTCTGAAAAAATTTGTGTGCATTATTTTAGCCGCATAGTTCTCTCATTCTGATGAGAGAACTATGTATTTACAACAATCTATAGGGAATCTATACTTGACCGAATTATTTATAATAACATTTATGGTTACGGAAACTTAAAAAACTTATTAAAATTTTGACATCCCCTAAAAGTTAAATGTAGTTTTGTTTATAATTTATATTTGCAACGAACAATCCGGCATAGTTTTTAGTGTTTTTATACGTAAAAAAAGCAATTCAATCTAATCATATCGACAATTACATCGAATGTAAGCGAAATTGAAAAAACGCGCTATTTGTGACGCTAGCGGTAAATAAACAAACTATTTTACGATATGTCCTAATAATTTTGAACTATGTCAAGATTTTGTGTTAAAAAATTAAAAAGCGCGAAAACTTTAAGAAGTTGTCAACATTTTAAAAAAATATAACTTATTAGGACATATCGTAAAACAGTTTCTTTTGTTTACTTACCGCCAGCAGCGCCAATTGCGCGTTTTTTTGTTTGCAACACGCAGGCTGCATGTTGATGATACAAAATGGCGTCGGTTAAAAAAACAATGCCGGTATTTTTGCCTTAAAGTAAACAATTGCAGTAAAGTTCAATAAGTAAATAATAATTCCTTCAATTCTGAAATTCTCGAACGGCGTAAATTATGGGTAAGGGCAATGGTGGCTGGTTCATTCGTTACACTCGTGAACGGGTGCTTCTTATATGGTTTGTTCTGGCCTAATCAATATAACTTATTTATTTTGTTACTCTAGTAACCATTTATTTACTCTTCTCATTGTTGTTTTTTACAATTTTGTATTCACACACAGACAAAAAAAAATCGAACAACATTTATTTAAAAAAGCAACAGGCATGTTTATAGCTCATTCGTTTTGTGCTGAATCTGAATTCCGAATGAATGACAGAACCTAAATATTGAGTATTCAAATGTGCTGAGTTATATTATTTTTTTTATGAATGATTCATTAATAAATAGATTATGTCAATTTATTTCCTTTGATTATCTTATAACTTTACACTTTTTACATAAATGATCGGAGTTACGAAGCCTAATTTTTTTTCAGATAAAACGGGACTCTTCTTTCTAAAGATACATACACAAAAAATTAAGTAAGTATAAGCATCAGGAATTAAATGTTCCTGTTTTTGCTACCTAAAAAAGGTCATCAAAGACATTAAAATTACTCGTGGTCGAGTACGTAATCCCCGAAAACTGAGACTGGGCATAGGCGCAGTATAGCCTGCGAGGCAGATCTAATTAGGCTCAAAAATCGGTACGTACCGCGAGAATTGGAAGGTACAAAAATATTCAACGGTTATAATAATAGTTAAATTTATCATGAAATAATAAATCTAATGACCCTATCCAAGACTTGGCAACAGTAGCGGCATTAGGGGGTGGCGAAAAGGACAATCGCCCGTGGCCTCGCTTTTGCAGGGGCCTCGCGTAACAACCAAAGCAAATTTTAAACAAGCAGTTACACATTTTACCGACTGGCAAGTTGCAAAAACTTCCCGATTTAGGCATTTAATTGCAAATTAACAAAATTATCGACACTAAAATATATTAAAAAAAAACTGCATTATCGTTCGCATTACATACTTTTTACATAGGACAAAAGGCCTCGCGAAGCCTGGAGCCTCGCAATGGGTAAGGCCGTTGCTGCTTGCCAAGACGGTTGTTTGCATTACCTATAGCAAGAATAGGGTTGAACATTTTAGAAACCGTTCTCCACCGGAAATGTGACAAGGGAGTGTGTGGGATATTATCTACTAAAAAAGCCACATGGTGTACCTACAAGCACCATTGCTTTGTATGTAATTTTTGTACTATAAATATTTTTTAAGTAAAGATATTTCACATTATTTACAACAAATGCTTCTTCACAATATTGCTCCCTTAAATAAGAATTTTATCAGGTAGGATATCCTAATTACTTAAAACTGTCCTTAATAACTATGGGACTGGTTATATTTGTGCAAGTGTAAGAATATATATTTTTTAAATATAACTTTATAAAATTATATATGTTTATTAAATGTGATGTCACTCATTGTACTACATACATACATAGTCCCTGGCAGATAACACTGCAACATTAATGGCTTCTCTTTCAGATTTACATGCACCAGAAAGATAAGACAGTATGTGTCATCAACTATATTTGGGCAATAAACCAGTATACATATTTTATATGAACAACATTCATCTCAAATTAATTTATAAAATAGATAAATAATGAATAAATTTCTTCCAATCTGATGCACATGTATTGTTCATTTTTCAAATGAATATGTCAACAACAGCTAATCAAACAGAAATCCACTCTACTAGTCTAAAATACTACAACTAAATATTCCTTCCTAAAAAGTATACAGTTTCAAACCATTTAACCAATGAGATGACTCATAGACAGAAACATCCTAATGAAAACAAAAAATAATGTGTAACTCAAAGTAAAAGTAAAAGCTTTTTTTAATGGATAAAGATTGAATGATGCTCCCTCCAATACTAATGGCATGCACTGATGGGGCACCAGTGGACTCAGGAACTAACTAGAATCGTTTCCAGGAAGATTGTGAGTACCTGACAGTAACCTCATGATGCTAAACTGACTGATGGGGTTACTAATCACCATTCCTAAAAACCCTTTAAAAACCTTTCTTCTCCAAGCACCATTTTTTTAAAGGAAGATAATTAATTAGCCATTAGTTTTTGCTAATGGTATACACTGTGGAGATATCAGTAGAGATCAGGTTCACTAGGAACTAACCACAATGGTTTTCAGAGACCATAAGAAAGTCAATCTGACTTGGTATATTGCTAGCAATGGGATCATTAGTCTCCATTACTGACAATCCCCTCCCACAATGGAGCAGTTATTTCTGCCTGAGTAGGGTACAGAGAAAGCACAAGGTGTATGGACACCATGCCTGTATCCAACAATATACATATAAATGTGGGCTAAGAAGATAATGATCAAACCTGAATTTAATATTATATTATATGTAATATAACTTATAATCAATTAATAAGCATTCTATTATTAAGTTTATTTTTTATAATTATCAATAAGCATTATAATCAATGTAATATTACAGTTCAGGAAACTGTGCATATGCCATTGTCATAATACTTAACACGAGTATGTTTGCGGTCAAAATTATATTTCAATAGTTATAGAACTGGGATAATACACATAATCGGAGTAAACAATGCATTATGGTATTCTTACTGACTCATGGATAAAACCAAATGTATCTCGGGAAAACTCATGTTGTTTTCCTTTTAACGGCTACAACCTATCAATTGTATTTTTTGTTACAAGTAGTATCCAATGTTACTTTTTCTTCAAAATCCTATACATTAATGTTTGATATAATAAATTGTTTTTATATTTAATTTAATAAATTGGAAATTGTTACAAGTTTATGTAATAATTTCCAATATATGATGAACTGAAAATAAATCAGTGCTAATCTTCTGTTCTAATATAAATAAACTGATATTGCAGTCTATGTTCAAGCATGCCAATCAATATTGGGGTATTATTCATTTGACCTCCTTAATGAATAATATATTAACAATTAAGAAAACTTTTGTTTTAACACATGTAATGTAAGTTTAGAGTTATGAGTTTGTAGAAAATTTGCAGTGATCCAAATTAGAAACAATATATCTGTATGTACACACATGACTAAACATGTTAGTTGTCAAGTTGTGCTGACATGTTTTTGTTGCCAAACACTACAAAGTAAATTACAAGGCCAGGAGTACTACAATGATGTTTTGTGAATTACCCAAGACTGAAACGATCTAATATAAGTTTTATAACAAAATTTGTGATGATACAAAATAAACTCGTGTGACATGAGTCATTAGGGCGATTCTCATGCAGAGCTAACCAGACATGGAAAAACCCAAATACCTTTAGTCTTACCCATTGTAGTGACGTTGTAGTCAGACTGAGTGAAATGAAGACTGCAAACTTTTGAATACTTCGTGTACGGTTTGCCGCGTTTCAAAATCAAGTTCCATTTGTCAGCCATTGTCACGTCTCGGGGGAATCGGTGGAATTTCACGTTCTTAGTCTTGCCGGCGAGCGAAGTACATTGAGGCACTGTGCAATAATAACCCATCTTGTCACCAAAAAACCTTTGTTAACAAACACTAAAGTTCGCTGTGCCGACAGCCACCACAGGAATGTTATTTCACATCAATACACAATATAGTCTGGCGTCGTGTGCGCATAAAAATAACAATTAATAAACGCAAATGTTATCACGTTGGTAAAAAAATGGAATCATCACAGAACAGCCTTGAAAAATTTGACATGTATCACCTTTTTTCCCTTCCCCACTTCCCACTTTTTTCAGAAAAATGGCCACGATACCATAGACAATCCAAATCTGCTTGTCGGAACGGGATATTATTTAAGTGACGCAAAGTTATTGTTAAACAAGTTGCACAAAATAGCTGTTATCATGTTCTCTTTTTTTTCAGACAGATAAATTTTATGATAAACCACTTTTATCAATGTTCATGTCACTGTCAAGATAATAATAACAAGTGAGGATGAGTGCGACTAAACGTTAACATGTGGTTCTTAGAAATATTATGCAATAATCTACGTTCTATTTTATTTTATATTTTAATAATATATTACACCAAAAATTTTATATTTTCTAAAAGTCTTTGTTATAAGCTATTTTTGTTAATTTATAAATAATAATTACAAAGACAATAATATTAAACGTCTAATCGTATCCGAACTTAAATTTAAATATTATTTATAATCATGTAAACTCTGGGTGCCATAGACAAGAAATAATTGTAATGGCAACAAATAAACAAAATTTATTTAATCTGTGACGGCTACTATAACAAGCATTTTTTATTTTGATATGGTGTTTTATATTTATTTATGTATCATGTCGCCGCTTGGTATTTATTGCGCGAAGTTTTGTTTGTTTTTGTGATTCTTGTGTGTAGTCAATCAAATCAACGAAAGGAAAATACATAATTATGTTAATTTAGTGTACAGTATCCTCTTTGGAGTTATCAAAATGCCTTATTATTGCACTGTGCCCCGGTGCACTTCTATGGCTGGAAAAGCTAAAAATGTATCTTTTCATCAGTTCCCAAGAGACGAAACATTAGCTAAATTATGGAACGAAATACTAAAAAGAGGCAAGCCGTACACAAAATACTCGAAAGTGTGCAGTTTGCACTTTAAACCAGAAGACTATACAATCACAAGTGTGGGAAAGAATAAAGGTATAATTAAAATGTTGTCTTTGTATCTGCACGTTTGATTTTTATATACAAAAAATATTTTTTTGACAGTACCGCTAAAATATAAATCTTAACATGTATTTTTAATCAATAAATTATGTGCCTTGTTAAGCCTACATGAAATCTTTCATAGTGTTTAATGAAATATGTTTCACAGATTACTGATTGCCTGTAGAACCAGATGGTACTTTAACATTTAGCTTTCTACTTAGTATTAAAATATTATATATATATATATTATATATTCTAATTCTTGTAAAAAATCTTTTAATACTACTCCAATGTTAAAAGAGTAATTTATAATAATATATGGAACATTTATATTTAACAGCAATAAAATATATAGTGCTCATGTATTACAGTAATTTTTTCAGTAATCTGTCACCATTGGATTCTGTTGATTGAACCGTTTGTTTATAATTATTCCCTACTGATTTTCAGGTCAATGGAGAACATTACGTAAAGATGCAATCCCATCACAAAACCTACCATCAGAATCGCCTGTGCCCTGCCAAAGGACTAGATCCTCTGGTTCATGGATATCTAACAGTCTACCAACAAATGTATTAGACAGTCAGGTGAAGAGAATTTTCTCTAAAATGTATAGAAATAAGTTGAGTGAACACATATCTTCTCAAGGCAATAGGTTTAGTGCCAATTGTCTCCTCTTAAAATAATAATTTTTGAAAAAAGTAGTTTGTATTTCATATTATTATATTCCATATAATTAATCTACAGATATAATATGTATAACAATAATAGCTAAAAAGTGTAAATGACAAATTTTATGGCTTATGTGCCATGATTTTAAATAATGCAAATGGAAAGGAATGCAAAAAAGCCGATGGCCCACCTGACAGTAATTGGTAACCATCATGTTGCACCCATGGTGCCTATAATGTCATATCTTCCTATCCTGTAATATTTACTACCTTATCTCACCTTTCATTGAGACACCTTTTACTGAGGTACTTGTACACTGAAATAGTTGAGATAGTGAGTAAAACAAACCACTTTGTACAGTCTACAACAGTAATAATATTTACAACATTGAGTACATCTAAATAATTTATAGTTGGGTCTTCTAAATAATACTATATATAGAAGTATATTTATTATATAGAAGTCCCAAGTTTACCACATCTACTACAGTACATAGGACTCCCGCAGAGAATGCTGAAATTGTTCATTCTTAAGCTCTGGCAGCCAGTGTTCTTCCTATAACCTATAGATATATATTTTATGTTACAGATTCATCAACAGATGGCACAAGCCATCTATGTGCAGACGATGCTCGCACTTCAGGCTGCTTCTACCACAGATAATTACAACATGAGTACTTGTAATGGTAATGTATATTCTTTTTAAAATTCAAAATCAGTAATGTCAGACATCATGTCTATAAATTTTTATCCCTTACTGGAATTTAAGCTAAGGCTTATTCAGTTTTATGAATAACATGTGTGGATGTAACAATATTTTTACTGTAATGATTTTTTTAAGTAATTGGAATAGCAGAGAAGCTGATAGCCATCCTGAAGGTAAACTGTAACCATCATCTATATACATGAACAGCATCATGGACATGTGCATTTATATATCTCAAAGACAGTTCTGTATTGTTCAGATTATTATCAGCTGCTGAATTTCACCATCACACTACCTGCCAGGAACTAAAATACCATTATAATCATCTGAATGAATGGCAGTCCTCCACATCCTTTTTTTTTATAAATTTTATTGTATTGTAATATATATTTATATTATTTGGATTTAGAATTTAGTATATAGAAAAATTATATTGATGCTGTACATCTTAATTCAGCTACCACCCCACACACCGCATTCTATTGATGAGTGTTATTAAAATTCGGTACGAACCGAGATTATTTAATGCAGAATTATGAACGCCCTGCATATTGAAGTCTATTGGTCGTGACTCTATAAAACCTACTGGCATATGGTGGGGTATGATGGTCATATAATCAAAATTTGTAATTAGATACCGGCAAAGTCATTCCTGTATCTAAATGTTTGGATCGATATCCATCCATATTGAAAGTGACTTCAGTTATCACATTAGAGATCATCACTGAAGAAATTATATTGTAAAAAGACTCATTGTAAGCTGTGCAGTATAGATAACAAGATAACACGTCTATATATGACAACAAAAACACGACGATGGACCACTGAGTAGTCAGGATAGGATTTGTATATATATATTTACATTTCATATCTTATTAAATAGAAAACTTGGAAAATTCTTATTAGTGATTATTATTATCAAAATTTTCAGGTGTTCAAGGAAATACAGATGAATCGACGTCCTCGAAATCATCTGCCATTGAGCAAATTCTAAACACACAAACAGTTGATAATATTCCACCTGATAACAAATTAGAAACAAAATTTGAGAGCAACTCTTACAAATGCACTGAATGTTTGAAGTGCTTTAAAGATCCTGATGTATTTATATTACACAGACGGATACACGCAAAAAATATGGATAAGTTAGTAAGTACGAGTGCAAGTGAGAAAGAAAACTTAAACACCAATGGGGATGTGAAACAGGAAATGTTGAAAGCTAACCCAATACTAGCAAATCTATTGCAAAGTGGTGTAACACAAGAAAGTCATCCTAATGACACAGTATATGATACCAATAATATAGTTAGTATAGAAAACCATATAATGACTGCATTGGCTGTAAATATGGAAAATTACATTAGAAGTTTATCATCAGGTATGAATACGAGTACAAGACTGAATAGCGGGTCTGATGAAGAGGATAGTCCCAATTTGACAGATTTCCAACATTCCACAGATCAAGATCAAGAATGTGATTCTGATATAAATGATTCTGCAGACTCCAATAGCTTGGTTATAGAGGAAAATGCGTGAGTTTCTTACACTGTAATGTGTATAACAGTAGTAATCCAACAATAGTGTATAAGTAAACTGAATAATGACCACCAAGTCGCATATGTAGAAAAATTATATACAAAATAGAATCCTTTATAAGATTGTCATCTTAATGATGTCTTTAAATTTTAATTATATAATTCAAAGTCATGATTAAGCTAAATTTTTTCCATTATCATGATTGTATGATCAACTATTGAGTTGAGGAGGAGTACTTATGCATACCTACCTTTTTAGTGAGTGTATTAAATAAATCACGCAACTGTGCAGCTTGTTATCTGTATATTTTTATTACGACTTATTGTCATGTTGGATTTCAGATTGTTATACACTTTCTGATCTTCATTTACACTGTGTAATAATTTAGTTATGTGTAAATATATAGTTAATATAAATACATGAAGGTATTTACCAGTCGCATAGCCAACTGATTCTCTTCTCGCCTTATGCCTCAAGAACAGAACAGAATCGGTGGATGTGTAGTTAGGAATGAGCTCTGAATGTTTGAAACAAGAAATAGACAAATGATACCAAGTCCTAAGTTCAGTTTTGATCACTTGATATGTATTAAAGTTCCTAAATAAAGTTAATATTGCTTATTGTACTTTAATAAACGATTTCCATTGTTGTACATAGAGATATAGCCTGTATCAGCTTGCAGTTAAGAGTATTTTGTTCAATTATTAGTTAATATTTTATGTCTGTTTTGTGTTTTTTACATTCAGAGAAAAGCTTCTATTCGGTGCCTCCCAATATGTATTTTGTTTTTTATATATATTTGGTAATAACCATTGCGGATTAACAACGGAATTGTAACAATAGTTTATTTAGGATTTAAGAGATTGAACTTAAAAATTCTCACCTGTGATGGTGAGAATTTTGTATGAATTTGTACTTCTGTTAGAATTTGTTTTATTTGTAAGTAATTTCACATTATTCATATAAAGGCCGTCTTTCAATCTGTAATTTGTACTGTACTCAACTAAAATTGCTAATTGTAGTTATTAAAGTATTGATTTATTTTTTCTTAGTGGCGAACCTCATTTTTTTTATTTATTTTTAAATAACATAAGGCCCCATGGTATTTGCCATAATTTAGTTTTAGGCAAAACTTGAAACCAAAATATTCATGAACTGAACATGTTTAAAATATATAGTTTGAAAACTTTTATATTAAATCAAACTAATGGAATAATATAAATACTAAACTCTCGGTCACGGTATTGTATAAATTGAATAAACTCGCCATGGTAAGGCTGAAAGCCTATTTTAATATTTAGGCTATTATCATTCGGGAAAGTTGTTTAGCTTGAATGTAATACTATCATTAGGTTTTGATTTGTCTAATCTGAACTTAATCCTGAAACCGTAACACTGGATATCACCTCTCACGGCCTACTTTAATTACTACATTTAATTTTGTTATCTGTTCATTGAAACACTACAGATCGACCAATTAAATCTGTAGCGAATCGCATGCGCACAAATATCACATAATACATAGTATAGTTATTCAGTATACATTTCTAAGATCTCTTTTTTATTAGCTTTAAGTGGTCAAAATATAATTATTTAAATAAATTTACATTGGAAATTATTCTATACTGCCGATCCCACCTTATCTAGGTTAATAAATAAAGGTATAGAATTCCACCTCTATGAATAATTTACGATACGGATATAACCAGGTACTGGTAGAAGGGGACAGCTTCCACCTAAATTAACTATAAGTGAACACTTATATTTTGAGAAAGTCTTGGTTCGATCCATAATTATACTGTGTATTTTAAATGTACTATATGTAATGTAAAAATATATTTTACCATAACATATGCAATTGTAATCAATTTATATATTAATGGTATCGACCATTCCTGTATTATCGGCTGGGCCGATTTGTCTCGTGTCATTTTTGTTTTAGTGTATATTATTGAATAATAGCCATTAGAAATGACCGCATGAATTATCATATAAAATATATGAAATCTACAATCTGCGTCGATTTTGTTAATTTGTCTAATGTGATAAATATAATGTGCAGTCAGACAAAAATTTACGTACGCACTTCCCGAAGCATGCTTTAAAGTATTATAGACGTTTCTTCAAAGTAAAACGGACCCTTTGTGTTGGGGCTTTATCGTTTTGTCCGTCCATCTGTTACAGTGTTATATCCTATATACATAAAATTGTTTCTTAACTAGTAATTAGTTCAACTGGAACTAATTGTAACAAAGTGTAGAATAATTTTGAATCGCCCAAAATAATGTAAATAAAATAATTGTTAAAAATAGTACCTATCTCTTTTGCATCTGCTCTGATGTGGGGCCTCGAAATTTGAAAGTAAATTAACTACTTCAAATGTAGTAGAACTGATGCCTGTGAACATTCCTAAACCAGTTTTATTTTATTCTAATTACATAGTTTCTGAATTTTGTTAAAAAATGTAAATACACTTTAACATGTCTATGAACTGAAAAACCTAAACTATATTGCACTTATTGCATATGTAAAATCATACAATAAAAAATAAAAACATAATTGTTATTTCATAACTGTCATAAATGTGCATAATTTTTTTTTTAAGTATAAACTTTATTTTACTGACTATGCAAAATAGATAGAATTTCATATGGACTGTATTATAGACTGATTTTTTTATAATTAAGCGAATTCATTGTACTCATGGGCGTACCTAGATGTTGTGCTTGGCCATAAGGGAAGTGCAGAGGCAAGTCATATTTTTAAGCCTCTACATGTTTTTTCTAAATTTAATGCATAATGCATACAATTTTCAGGAAATGGGTCGACTGCCCTCTCTTGCCTCTTTTCTCCCTGGGTACGTCCATGGTTATATTTTTATAATTCGAAATAATCTGACCTCGAAAATAAGTGGTAACTAAAAAATAACTTAACAATACTCTGTCTGCAATTGTTTGTGGAATTTTGTGAAATGTTTGCAAAATAATTTATACTATGATTACTTTATATTTAAGTCCAGAAAGGAGGTTATCAATTCGAATATGTTTTATGCATGTATGTTACACAATTCCTGACATATTAGAATTCTCTTTGCAATATTTTTTTGTATATTGCGAAGTGTACTCTTTAATTAAATTTTACTATTTCAAGGAATGAACAAACAGATTTAAATGAAACTAAACAGAATATAGTGATGGATTCATATTATTGTTATACTGTGTGTAACATAATTTCACTGTATTGTAGAGTAATTATAGATGGTTGATGATGACTAGAACTTTACGAAATTGACTTGATTCAAGAGATATTTCATTATCACCTTAAAAACAAAGTATAGAGACAGACAAATTAAGTACAGAGGCTTTAAATCACATATTAAAATAATATTAATAATTATTATCCTTGGTTAACGATGACTTTAACCTCCTTTTTGTTACTTAGCAGTGGTGTAGCGTGGGGCATGCAGGGCCCATAGACCAGGGCGTTATACCGGAGATACATTAACTTGAAATAAAAAATAAAACTGTTTTGAAAAAAATTACCAAAAATATATTATTGTTTATTATGTGACAAAAATTGAGGTGTATTAATTTACTAATTAATTTACCTAATACTATTTTTAAGAAATAATTAAAATAGAGGGGCAGCTAATTCCCAGGCGGGCAAAGATCACACGGCACCACTGTTATTATGCACCGTGATACAATACATAGAAGAGGCTTAAGTTATAATTCAGAAATTTATAAACAAAACATATAATAAAAGACTGTCAAAATTAATATTATTAAAGACTGGTACCCACCGACTTCTGTTTTCTCATCATATTTGGTGTGAAACTCATTAAGGGGTGAAATTGAATTATATAGTTCATGTGTTTTTGGTAAATGATTCTCAGGAATTTGCAGCTTAACACAAATATGTTTTTAATAAATGGAAAATTATGCACCCTGAGAAGATATGTAACCTAAAATTCAGTATAATTCTATACTAGTTCAGTTATATCTGTATGTTTAAATGTATTTTCACAGTTACGTACAAATTTACTATGTAACACAACCTAATGAAGATTGCAATAAATTATTATATTATGACTTGCCTGAAATAAGCATGCTAATGTCTACATTAATCTTAGAGTTATATTTAGAATTATTATAATTTAATTTCACCCCACAGTATAAAATTAGATATTTAGTAGCCTATAGTGCCTTAGAAATAATTATAATTGTAAAAAGTATAAATTAGGTCTGTAGTATCGTCTATATAAGTAAACGCACAGGAGCGTTCGACTGAAATTAGTTTTTTTTTAATATTTACTCAAACAGATGTGTAATAAAACTTGTAAAAAAATTGCTGTATTATTTGCTTAATTTAATTCATCTTAATATTATAGAGAGAAAGTAATAATAATTTAAAGTTCTAATAAAATAAACGATGTGGATCTTATTATCTTAGCCGTAGATCTGATATTTGTTTGAAGATACAGTAACTACGGCACAATGGATTGGACCATTGTGCCGTAGTTACTGCGCGCACCGCAACCAGGTATTCGAATTTTACTATAGTTTTATTATTACGTATTTTTTTGTTTTATGGTTCTGTTTTGTTTTATTGTAGTGTTATTTTATTTAATAGGGAATTTATAAATGTAGTTTATAAAAAAAATGTATTTAAATTAGGCGCCCATACCATAGGCAATGTAAACAGGTGATTCCTCTCTGAAAAATTCTAAATTGAGTCGTTTACGATCCAAGTTGCAAAATATTATGCGTACGGAAACACTTTAAAATACCATGTACTTATATAGTGATAAACATTTTAAACTACATAAACATTATAATTTTGCGTTTTAAATTTAAGGAAACGAAATTGTTTCATTGTAACTTTTAAAAATCGATAAGTAATTTTAATTTCCGACAACGGCACAACACTATTGAAGATTACATACAACTAGCAACAAGGTAATGTTATCTATGGAAATATCATCAAGACTTATCATCAATGTACGTAATATCGTAATAAAACCCTTGTTACTTTTACTATTTCCCTACACAATACCAACGTATTTCGATACTTACCCATTGTTCTATATAGATTGATTTTTTAACATGGGCCATTTCTAGAATCATTATATAGTTTTTTTAGGGCTTGGCACTTCTGTGCATTTATATAGTTTGTGATGGGATCGTAATCCACACGTAATGTGGCAACTCTGTGTCACCAGTAGCACTAAATATTTTATAATGACCACATTTCTATAGACGCAAATAAAGTAAAAGTAACTAGAAACGTATCACTGCTACGTAGTACTGTTTTTAGAGGAGAAAATATAACACGTAGTTATGTAAGTAGCCTGCGACATGCTTTAGCATCTCCATTTAGTTTTCGTCTGTGAGTAGCGACAAAAAAGAATGTTCAGAAGAAGTATCTACGTGATATCTGAACCTATACCTTTTTATTTAAACAGTAGGTACTCCATGCACTTTTCGATAATACAGACATGTATGAGTGGCCTCATTTTACGATACCTTTTAGATTATTCTATAGGACTAAAAGATACTTGATTTTTAGTCTGTTTCCATTTCTAATGACCTTACTATGGTGCTTACTATGTAAACTGTGTTCAGTTGAAAGGTGAGATAAGAGATAAGTCAATGAAATCACAGTATAAGAGACATGATAACCCTTATGTGTTACTACTTGTGACTATTAGTCCTTTGAAATGGCAACACATAAGGGGTATCGTGTCTCATGATGTCATGATGTCTGTAGTGCTGGTCATGTGTATAGAACGGCTTACCATCTGGTGGGCCGTCATTTTAGTTGCCTTTCCAATTACACGAAAAATATCGTTTTGACACCGTGTATATTTGCAAATTGATTAGATAAGTACCTACCTACTTATTAATGAAACTGAGCATTTACCTACTTGCATGAGAACATCCACAAGGGCAAGTTTTTTTTTAAGTATTCTGACGGTGTTGGCTCCTGGCCTTTACAGCTGCACTGAAAGATAGGAGTGAGTGCATATGGTACACCAAAGCCGCGGAAACACTTACAGAGAGGCTGAAGGCCAACTCCTGCCTAATGAATACGTTTTTAGTCTAAGGTTTCCGCTATGAACCTCGGCTCAGACCATTGCGATTTCGAACGCCATTTGAATTAGACGGGGATCGATCGGAGGGGAAGAAGAACCAGTAGCGTAGTTAGGTAACCAAGGGCCCTGGTGCAAATCAAAAAGTAAGCTACTGTTGAGCAGTGGCAGAGCAACATTACAGTTTTATTAAAACGCACATATCGCTATTATATATACGTTTTAATATAGGCATATATATCAATTTGACGGAAATTGGCAACACTGACCAAACCTCAGAAATAATTTAGAGGAATTCCAAAGGTATAACTTTCGAATTTCTCTCAACTGAGTTGCCATGATTAAAGTCTGGTTGCAACCTGATAATTATTATTTGATATGGGAGAAATTTTCAAAAGCTCAGTTTGATCGAGACTTACTGGTAAGGGTTCTAGGTCCCCCTGAGCTTGAGGGCTCCGGGGCACTGCCCCGCCTAGCCTCTAGGTAGCTACGCCACTATATAACACTGGTCCTTCTTCCCCTCCGACTATATTGAGATGGTTATGCCCTATAATCTGGTTTTTAATTTTAGAGACTAAATTGACTAGGGTAGTGATGTACCTTTTTTTTTACAAGGGGAAATCCATCATGGAGACCCGCACTCCCCGGGGGAAGCGTGCGGGTACTGCCGGACTCCTACCGGCTAAACCCCTTGGTGTCCTCCGCTCGCTGCTAGCGCCAGGGTCACGGGATCGACATAGCAGTCCACCGCGACCCCGTCAGCGCAGGCTCTGCAGCCTCCTCCTCGAGTGGCACGCGCGCCTACTCCCGGCCTCACCCTCCTTAGGTGACGGCAGACGCCCCCGCGTCTGCCGCCAGGGTATGAACTGCGATACTGGTTTTCTCGTATCGTAATATTTTATTTTAGACGATTACATTTAAATCTGTGTAGGTTCCACAAAAATATTTTCAAAATTAACGTACCTACGTAGTTTTATTATGGTCTTTGTATTACACGACAATAATACATAAAAATACAAACAACAATAATAAAAACACATTTGTAATTTCCGTATATGTAATAATTTTGACAATGTTGTGGCAAATTTACTATTATCGCGCGGCAACACCGTTGCCTAGCTACGACAGAGCAATAAAATAACAGGCCTGTCATTCGAGACCGAATCGCCTTCTTGTACATATAGGTACTAATTGTAAATACTTCTATATATAAATATGTAAATAGTCACGACTGGTTTCTATTCACCTCCTCCTTTCCTGCTGCTGCCACAATACATGGAACACATTACAAACACAAATAATAGAGGCCCCAGCATAGCCGCTAAAATGCTATAAAGCTACAAACCAACTATATCTTTATTTCAAACAGATCAATAAAACAGGATCAGAACAGATTTTTTATGAAATATGACTATGTGCAGGTCATGTTAATGTATATTAAATGAACACACACATATTATTAGAATGTAATTGATACGTAGCACAATCGGAAAATAATATTAATTAATGATTAATTAATTAATATTATTTTCCGATTGTGCTACAGGACTGTTCAAAAATCACCAAAAGATTGATCGGAGATAATAATTTCGGATATAAATTTAACATTGGTAATGTTAAATTTATCTCCGAAATAAAAAAAACAATCTACAGTTACCAAACCAGTACGGTTCTGTTACGTTACTAGTACTAGTTTCTCAGACTCAACACTCGGCACCTAAGTCTGAAATAGCTGGCAACTCTGTAGTAGACTCGGAGCGTTCAATTTACAGAGCGGGTCACCTGTGAACTAGTTCAGTCGCTCACAATTCGAGTCAAAACAAAGCAATACGCGCTGACTAACATCTACGCCCAAACTGTTTTATTTTTTGCAATCTTAATATTATCTTATCCTGAATATAGTGGATGGTATGCAAGCTACACAGGTAAGCGTGTTTGAAAATAGTTAAACGAGATATTTAGAAGTTTTCCTTTTATCACAGATAACATGATATTACATAATTTTATTTAATTATAATAATCTTTCATACTATCGCATTTATTAAGTAAGTGGACGAAAATAATACAATTGACATCTGTGTAGCTGATGTCTAAAAACAATGCTGCTGTTCCTATTTCGTCTTAAATGATATAATTTGTAAAAATACAATATGATTTACTTTACTTAATTGCACAATTTATTTATTATTTTTATTATTCGAGTTGTTCTCTGAAAATAAATAACCTGCTAAATAAATGCATGACAATATGTACACGTATGAATACTAATTATATTGTCGAATATTAATACACCGAACTAAGGAGCGGATGATTGCGTAGTTCGTCATTGGAAGCGCTCTTTCGAACTAGTTTGGTCAGGAACTACACTAATCTACTATATAGATTACACAAATATAACCACATGTAGTATAGATATATTGTTCAACACATTGTGACATAAATACGAAGGGGGATACCCTTGAAAACATCAATTCATGAAATATAGATTTTGTGAATTCCAACATTAGTTTTCTTTTGGACTTGAACTTAGACTACGTTCGTGTGCGTTGTTCAATACCAATGAAATTATATAAAGTACGTAAACGATAATAAAATGTCCACTTCTAACGTAGTCGAAGAACCAAAACCATTACTATTAAAAAAGTTCCAACATATTTTATTAAATAATAAAAAAGTAACAGTTATAAACAGTGACAACAGTGAGTTTTTGAGAAATGTTAAAAATATTTCGCCACTAAGGTCACATTTGTACACGGAAGATTTGATTTACGAATCAAAACAAGGGGATTTCCTCAAGTGTCAGGATTACTCTGTGACAATAACATCTCGTCATAATGTATCCACGAACAGTGTTCGAACGTTCGCTAAGTATGTAAGTCGCCACGGGAACAACTCTTATGTGAAATCTTCAGACAACGTCGTGAAGCTTATAGGTCAAGATAATTATGATGTGTTGTTTAGTACTTTATGCTCCGTTCTGAATTTGGAATTTAAAGTGCGTGGTATTTTAGCATTGCAGACAGTCGCTAAAACATCGCAAGAAGTAGGTTGCCAGACTGATAGTGCCACTGAAAGTGTTGTACGAGTGTCTAATACAGTGAGTACGTCGTCGCAAACGGACGAAACTTCAATGGACATATTGTTGAAGCCCAAGCAAAGGAAACGCGTGAAACGCCAGCATCTGATGCCATATGTTGTGAAAGATGACCCCAAGGTGGTAGAAGATGTGAACAATTTAATGTACAAAAAGGTGAAGAAAATAGTTATTAATCCGGAGAATTTTGATCAGTTTCAGTACAACGACAAATCTAATCTGGATCATAGTATACTGTCTAATGAGACACAAACATTACCTGTATTTGGTCAGTTAGCATTGGATGAAGATTCTAATACTAGTACAGGAAACATGTCATCATTGTCTGTGAATACAATTCCATTTTTGATGGAAGATCCAATGTCTTTGCTGAATAATATTGAAAGACATACTGAAATGGAGCCTGTTGATTATAATATGAGTAATGTCAATGCAGCCTCTGTTCCTGTAAAAATTTCTCTTCTAGACAATACACAGGTGACATTACCAACCAAACCGGAGGATCATTTTCATATAGCTACACAAGATATATTGAGGCATATGTCTCCTGAACACAGACGTAAATTATTATTTCTTCAAGCATATATAGATTGGAAACACTGTTTGGATAAAGATGAAGATGGCTACCTGTGAGTATTAATAAATAAGTATGTTTAAATATTTTGGTATTAATATTTATATTTGTAGGTATTTTATGCTCTAAAAATTTATTTTATACTAGCTGACCAAGTCATGGGAAAGGTAGTTATAAATAAAGTACATTGTAATGCTGCTATTTACATGTATATTGTATAATATTCATTTTTATATTTTAATTATATAATCAAAGGATATCTAATATTCTTACATAACAATATTTAATTTTTGAAGGGGAATTACTTAATAGTTGTTGTTGCTATTTATATCTTGAAGATGTACATTAAAGTATTTTGAGTTCTAATTATCATAATAATAAGAATTAATTTTAACTATATTAACGGTTCTGGTTTTGGCTTTAGCATCAGTCATAATAATATTCTAGAACTGTTAAATGTTACTGAGGTAATATACTATTCTTGATGATAGGATCACATTTATTGTTTAAACAATAAATGTGATCATATCATCATCATCATCATCTACATCAGTTAATGTTCAGTGCAATTTCACTAATCATCAAAGTAGGATCACCATCTAAAAATATTACTTACTTATATTTAGAAATTATTATTAAGTATATATTGAAATTTAGTACTTTGATTTTCAACTATTGTATTATTAAAGGCATATGATATGGTCTCATACATTGATATTATGTTGTATAGTGTGTACTGTGTACTGCCAAATTGCTGTTGTTACTTTCCGATCTACTTGTCATACATAATAAAACTATTTTTAAATATTACCAGACAATATTTGTGAATGTCATCAATTCTTGTTTGTTTGTTTGTTTATATAGCTATAGTCCATTTCTTTTATTTGCCATTATTTATGTTGCCAGCTTTTTGTGATTCTTTATTAGTGCTGAGGCACAACAAGGAATATAATTTTAACTAGCGATTTGTATCCTTACAATGGTATATGGGTATTCATTTAACAGACCTTAACACAAAATTAATAAAGTATTAAAAAATATGGGGTTGTTGTATCAAAATAGATTTATTTAACACAAATATCATATCATATTTCTTAATATCTACACCTATTTTAAATATTTTGCTATTTGAGAGAATAAATAGTTTATTTTTAGTTTAATACATACTATATAATTAAAAAAATATTTTTGTGTTATTTAATACAAAGAGAAGTGGAAACAGAAGCAAATATATACATATGTAAATGTGTAAAATATGTTGTGTAAACTACATAGTAAGCTTTAATACTAATCATCTCAAATAAAAAAATACAATGCAACAAATCCTCTAGCAGCAGCATTAGCTACCCCGCTACAGCTGGTAAAATCATTTGAAAAATTTACATTTACTTGCCAATTTAGTCTTTGAAATTAAAAAACAGACTATATTATTATTCTTTGTTTTTTATTAAATTCATAGGTGTTCATTCATGTGTTAAAAAAAGAGTGTAATATTAGTAGGGAGAAATCTTGAGCTGAGATCCCACGAAAATGGGAAATGTCGATCTTGATTGTTGTAGTTTTATTTTATTTATGTATAGATAAAAGGAAAAAGATTTGGTATACCGAGAAAATATAGTATTGACATAACAGAATGAACAAAGTAACAAACAAGAATGTACAATAAAAGGAACTACAGAATTTAAATACAAATTTAGAATACAAAATACATTTGTGATTAGCCAGTTAAAACATTGATCTCTGCGCGATCCCTTTGGTAACCTGTCATATAGGGGAAAGTGATTGTTAGTGATGATGAATGTGATTCTTCATTGCTAGCAGAGTACCATGTTAGGTTGACCTCCACACGATTCCCCTTGGAAATCATCGTGATAAATTCCTGGTGAATTTGTCGCGATGGGCCAACTGACCTGATGTACTCATCCTATCATCCTCCACTAGTGCCCCTCTAGCGTAAACCGTTAGCGCAAGTGAGTGCACCATTCCATATCCATTTATTAACCAACCTGCCATCATAATAAATTTCTATTCACTTTTCTGCATTTTTAAGTAAAACAAATATTTGGATATAATCTGGAACTAATTTCATAATTTGTCACATGTTGATGTACTCCGCTAAATAATCTATTTACCTCATGCCCATTTAAAATAGATAACACACTTCCGAAATAAATAAACAATTGAATGGTACCATCGATATTACTCACACATGTGACAAACTAACATTTTTGAAGAATAAATTAGTCACATTAGCTGTTGCTTTTTCCCCTATGAAATAAACATTTTCCTTATTCAATTTGAAAAACACTTTTACGTATTCACGGGGAAATTTTACTCGTATATGTTACCAGGATGTATATCGGATTTTATAAATTATATATATATATAATATATTAGAGGTATTTTTTATGCATGAATAAAGCATGGTGCACCCATATACGCTAGTTCTAGTGGGGTATCACCAGTGAAAGGTGAGGATTTTTTATGTAATTAAATAAATAACATCTGGACAATTAACACAGGGCCATCTGGTACCATTATATTACTATATAGATATTTTTTTGTAAATACATAAGTATATATTATACGTAGAATTCACCACGACCGATACAAACGATCATATTCATGAATACAAATGTTTGCACCGTGCGAAGAATCGAACCCGCGACCATACCTATAGATCACCGTCAATTAGAATGGTAAATATGCTGAACGTCCACCTAATTGTAAGTGTTAAATTATCGCCTACATACACATGTATACATACATAGCAGGGATGTTAAGGTTATGAAATTTCGGATACGGATAGGTTTCGGATATAGGAATGATTATTATACTGGATACGGATGCGGATATGAAATTATTTCGAATTATCCGTTAGTTTTGGATAATTTCGGTTACGGATATTAATTTTTTAAGAAATTTCAAAAATAATATACAAATAGCTAATAAAATGGTTACAGAACGTGTCTCAATTACGCTCCGTCCCTATCCGATATTATCCGAAACTTTTGTTTCGGATTCGGTTACGGTTACGAATATTATTTTATATCGGATATCCGATAGTTTCGGTTACGGTTATGGAGCTCCCCAACATCCCTGATACATAGCATACACAGCACTAGCACATTATCGAGTGACCCTGCGATACTACTTATACGTTGACATTCTGGAGGACTAACATGTCATTTAATTATCGGTAATTTCACTGGCCTATGATACTTTTGACCCATACCGCTGTGCTTTGGATGAAAAGTAAGATAGGGTAGTGAAATTACAGAAATCATATCATCAAAAATCAAACTACTTGGAGTCTGGAAATAGGTGAAACTGAGATCTACGCAGACTGTTATGAATATACATGATATGTGATATTACAAATACTATCTTTATATCTAAATTGAATGAGTATGAAGAACATATACACAATCTGTGGCGAATTAACTAATTACATCTGTGCTAGGACTGCATGTTATAGATTTTTAAATATATATGTCCTTTATTACGTCTGTATCACGAAAAATAAATAAACTCACTTCAACGTTTATGACGTTCCACGTTTTTTTTTTAAATGTGTCGGTCTAGTAGGTAATTTTGTAAGTAGTATCTGAGTTTCTTTACTATATAGGAACCTATAAGCTTAACTTTTTATATACTCTAACTTTTAAAATGTTTGTCTATTAGCGTATATACAGGGTTAATCGGAAAGGGTATTTAAAAAAACAATATTGGACATGTCCATAAAAATAGTCCCTTCATTACTACATTTTTACGCTCTCTGTTATTCCCCGTGATTCGTATAACCGTGTTGCCAGTTAACTAAATTATCTTACACTTTGGTCGTCTTATCCTCTCGCATAACAGTCACATGATTTTTTGAAATAGTATACTATTATATTATATGAGATTATCAAGAATTGTCCCTTTGATTATTCGTAAAGAGTGCTTTGTTTAGATAATCATTCTACTGTCATCATGATAGTTCTGACCGCTTGTACCTAATAATGAACAATTTCTGTTTCACAACTTTCTCTAAAAGGTAACATTTATAATTTTTAATAAATTATATAACAAAGTAAATGATAATTTCTGCTATGTATGCATGTAACAATTAACGTAACTTCATCCTCATTTATCATCCTTCGGTGGAATTCCACGTGTAGCCGGCCGGCCGTTGTGTCTCCATTTGATATTTATCAGAGGGAAAAAAATCGTTAATCGTTATAAAATACACTAGTAACACTGCTTTTACGTTTAGTCACATAATCCTTCAATTATAATTTTTGTGGTTAATAGGTACCTGTCTACCTATTAACCACAAAAATGATAATTTAAGGGACGAATTGGAATTATCCTTTAAACATATAATTACGTGTTACGATTTTATTTATTAACCTACTATTTTTTTTGTTACTTTTATTGTTGTTAGCTAGGTATTACTATTGTTATAATTTATGATTTTTAAAATTGACTGAAATTTGTTAAAATTTTCTGTTAGTCCTGTTTGTATAAAATCAATCTTTAAAATTCTTATTTACGACGATTATTTTTTAACATTTTTACGAAGTAAAAAACTTTAAAATTATGTATGCACATAAGTAAGTATAGACTCTCTGAACTTGTTGTCTCTTGTATACATAATATAGATATATATATATATACAAAAATATAGGTGGCATGCTCGTAAATGATTTCTTCTTCTTCTTGAAAGATTCTTGAAAGAGAGAAGAATTTTACCGAGGAGGCATTTCAATTCTGCATTGTAAAATATGCTTTTAATCGTTTCCTTTGATGTACATTATTATATTACTTTCGTCACCAAGTGTATTTTCTCTTTGACAACGTAGATAAGGGGAATCACCGTCGGTATTGCGTACTAAAGATATTAAAGTACCAATTTACTGAATTTTGTGTTCGTTTTATCTTAATTAAATGTAGTATCTAATTTATAGAATAACATAATCTTGTAATATATATATATATATATATATATAGTAATCAATATTTGTTTGTTCATACCGTAAGTACAATTGCCATAAATCAAATTTGTAAATGAAATGTAAGTATGTGTATAAAAGTTTAAAATCAATATATCTTTATTCGTGTAGGTCTATTATAGACTGTTATGATATGTCAAATCTACCGTTAGTTCAGAATGATTTCGAGATGAGAAGAACTGATAAGAAACTCAGCTCAGGTTTGTATGTACAATACATGCATGTTATAGTATAAAATAAGCTGAGAAATCATGCATACGAAGTCGGGACGGGTTGATTTACTTTCGATGATCACGGTTCAATTCCTCGCACTATATACACATTATTACTGGGTACGATTGTTTGTATTTTTCTGGGTGGTTTCTATGTATATTAAAAATACATTTAAAAAGAAAGACTCACTTAGCCTACATACAAGCTCTGCTTAGCTTGTGATTAGATGACGTTCTTTGAATTGTCTTTTAATTATTATTATGATTAAATGTATATTAGGTATCGGTGGACGGTTAAAAATTTATCAGAATCAAGCGGAACTGCCTACCACTACTAGTATTTACAAAAATTGATATAATAACCATATATTTTATCAATGAACTAAATTCTAGTAAAATTAAATATTTCCTTATCATTAGTTACCTAACCTAATAATCAATATTATTTAGGTATCTATGACTGTTACTAACAGATCAGTTCGTTTTTAAAATAAAACTATACTTATATTTCAGTCTGGTGACCTATCCTTGCTTAGATACAATGTGTCATTAATCTTTTTGAGCACCAGGGTATCAGAAGAGGCGATTAGAGGAATAAAGTGAGGTACGCACCCACGCAGATCCTTTTCCACAAAGCCTATTCAAAAGCCTTCTCAACAGTCTTCAGACCAAGACCAGATTTCTTTCAGACCAAGAAGCTTGCGTTCGTACACTATTTCGGTTAAAGACATGATATTTTAGTACCTCGGTATGGCAAAGCACGAGTGGTATCACGGTAGTCGCATGAAAATGTGATATCCGTAGTTCTGTTCAATGTATACAGGCAATGGTTACCACTTACCATCATGTGGGCCGGAGTTTGAATGCTATTCCAATTATATATATTTTTTAAACTTTGTAACTATGCGTGCTTAATGTGCGGTTATGACGATGATATTAATAATATGATGATACACTAATGCACGTCAGACGTTCATTTCTATTCCGTTCTTCTGTATCATTATTATTACAACCTATCGTGTGGGCAACTCGCCTTCGAGCGTAATTCACAGTGCAGACTAGATGCCTATTACATGATATCCAGGGTTTTACTCTGTCCAGAACGTTGGCCAATGCTTCTTATTTTAATTCGCATTGTCATCCCACCTCTTCGATTTTGGCTGACTTTCGTTTAACCTAAACTCACATTTTGCAGGAACGCGCTCTTCTAGTTACAGGAGCGCTGGACGGGGAGGAACCCAATTATATGCGTATTGTACTAAAAAAGGCACATATCCTGGGAAATACCTGTTACTTCAGGAAATATTCCCCGATGTATAATTTCTCTAAACGGCGTACAAGACTATTTATTTTAGCCAGATGCCAAAAAAAGTTAGTCGGGGCGAAAACGATTGTTTTGAATCACTAGATAATATTCAATCGGAAATGTATATTAAATATATTAGTTTTTTACTTCAATTTATATTTGAAATAAAATGTTTATTTAATGTCAAATATAAATTTAACTAAGCAGTCTTAGACAGTGTTGGTTAAATCGTAATCAAAAAGAAACATAAGTATTATCACTTTATTTGCACAATTGTTAGAAACAGGAGTTTCTAAGGCGGATGTTTTAGGTGGCGCGGCGGTCTAAAATGGGGCATTGTGAGATGATAAAGAACAGTTTTTTTAGAGGATGATAATGGAATGGTGCACCTGCCTGCGCTAACGGTATATAATTTTTGTGGAAGTTTAAAATACCTGAACAGAACCGAGGTGCGTTGTTATAAAATTCAAATTATTTATACGTACCGACGTGGTGACGGTATCGGATCATCCAGTATGAAGTAAGGTTCAATGTCCTGGGGCCCCCCTATTGGGCACCGCTGTCGCGCTACGGTTCGTTCTATAGACACGAGCATGATAAACCAAAATTATACAATGTTGTCTACATTGTATAACTTTACGGAAAATTCTATTTTAAGAAGCTACCTTACTGTCCGATAATTTTTTATGGTCGAAAAAGAAATGGTCCATGCGATAACGATATGTGGTGGAATGGCACCGGTAGACGCTAATAAGACGAGAACGAAGTAATTTAGCCCACTTTGGAAATAACTTGAAATTACCTACGAAATTTTCAGGGGGAAATGCATGGAAGTTGACCTGATACTGTATATTGTTACCTGTGTGTAAAATGTACGAGTATTCTATCAGGTTGACCTTAACGCGGTCCTCCCTGGAAACCATTTAAGTCAATTCCTAGTGATTTTAAAACAATGGACTGACTATGTGCACAAATGTGATACCTAATGACAATTCTTCCCTTGCCCCACATTCTAACATTTTACTAATGCTTTTTACATTTTATTTAATAATGCACTGTATCTTAAACGACACTTCCCAAGCACCGAGATGCTACTTTCAGGGACTAAGCTCTTATTTACGTACTGTTACGCTTATGTAGAACGGTCGCATTTTTGAACGTTATTACTAGGTGATCCTTTTATTCTCTAATATTATTTCAACAATACTAATGAATGATTATGACATTTGTTTTGTAATAAAAACAATCTGTGTTGTTGCGGATTTACCTACATCTAAATAAGAACTTATTGTAGTTTTATTATGTATTAAGATTATTAATTATCACTATAGTTTTTGTTGAGCTTATGTTCATCGCAAAAAATTTTATTCGTCATTATTTAATTATTTTCTCTTTAGTAAGTTAATAAATACATTTCTATAATATACCTGTTTCTATTTCTACAGGCCTATACATCAGGCGGCTCAAAATGGCGATGTAGACCTAATAAGAAGACAATGCTTAGTCCTCAAAACAAGACAGGAATCAGTGGATATTACTGCTGGAAATATGGTAAGTTATTTCTTTTCAATTTAAATATTTGAACTGCTATTTTTTAAATAAAGAGAGTGTTAAAAGCTATTAATATCATATAAAGATAAATAAATTTATATCTTCAGCACACATAACAGCAAAACAAAAAGTGAGTGACTAAATTGAAACGGTAAAACTACTAATGGGAATCTTATTTTACTTTAACAGTCTAACGTCTTATTTGCAACCGTATGCGGTTATAACTTTCAGTTTTACAAAGAACTTGAAATATCTATACATATAATATACACCCTCAGATAGGAATTGGCCTTCAGTCGCTCTATAAGTTCTTCAGCCGGTATGAGTATCATCTGCACTCGCCCTTTATCGTTAGGTGAAGCTGTAGATATATATATATATAATGCGAGCTGCAGCCTTAGAATACCTTAGAATTAGTAGCATTAGAATAGTTACTAAAAATAAGTATTCAAATCGTACAATGATTTTATCACCTTACGATTTGAATTTGTTCTGAAAATATGGTAAAATGTTCAACCCTCCGCATTGTTGTGTTTCAATATGTAGCAGACTATCGCATAAAGACATAGGGGAAAGTAATACAATTGATAACTGTGCACGTTGCATTTTATAAGTCGATTATACATATATTGAATAAAAACATGATACATATATTTTTATTGTCCATTATTTTATATAGAATAATATTCTATACTGTCATTTTTCAAACGAAGACGTATTGAAGGTATATGTCGCATATGTCAGCCCATAAAAAGATTTCATTTTCCATCTACCCGCTGCTCTTCAGTTTACCCGTGATCATGGTGGTTAAAACACTACCGAAATATCGGGAACTCACCAAATAAAATATAAAATGTGATCCCGTGATTTTTACTAATTACGTATAAATAATGACCGCGTCAAGTTTAAAACAGTATATAAAAAATATACAGTATAAATAGATTACGTTGATTGCTATTGGCTTCCAAGAGTATTAAGTTTTCATTTTGACTATTTTGTATGGCTACGCGACGACTTTGATTCGAAACCGATTTTTTTGTTTTTTTTTATATAAATATTTTAATAGTCTCTCAATAAAACATTTCTAATAGGATATTAGTTTCCTAATAATAATACAGTATCGATCATAAATTTATAGTTTTAGAAGTACTTATTTAGAAACAAAAGTATGTGATAAAAATTATCTGTATGATGTTGATAAATTGACAATATGTACCTAGTTGGGTAAGGCCAGACAATATTTCGCTTTTAGGGTTCCACGGCGAATTACGTTAATGTGATGTCATCCTAGTGTATACCTATGTTAAGTACGTATCACGATACGTATGTAATAAATATAATGATAACACCGAGAAATGCGTATATTTAATTAAAATAGATTGCAAAATATCTATCTTAGCAAATAATTTGAAAATTCTAAAGTATATGTATACTCGAGGGACTTTTATGTTTTGGAAAATATTCTTATTTCAAATCCCATATGGCGAATACATTAAATGCTATTAAATTAACATATTAATGTAATGTAAATGTTAAATTAATTATATTAATGTAACTAAACAAAAATAATAAAATTAACAGATTACTCCCACAAGTCCTTTTCACGAGTATGACGGGCATGAGTATAATCCCATGTCGCGTATCGGTATCTATAGAACCCTGTTATGAATTTAATTCACATTTATCGTTATTTATTATCTCTAGCGCTCAGTAGTCACACGATATGAGATATATCTAGTTATCAACCGATTGATTAGATTCAAGAATTATAAATGGGTAAGTATTAGAATTAAAAACACATCTGAAATGACGTTGATTCAAATTTCCATTGAAATTATTTTTATTTGACAGATTATAGTTTGACCATTCCAATATATGTATAAGTTGCTAAAGAATTTCTTTTTGTTACTTTATTTAATTAGCAGAATTTTATTACATTGCTTTTAAATAATGAAATAAAATTTATAATTAGCTTTTATTAAAATATGATAATTTTGATTGATAACATATTTTGCATATTGATAAAAAGAACAGATTGACTGGGACAATCGTCCGACTAAACCTAATTACGTGAGGATGAGGATGAGGTTTTTTGGCGCGGTGTAGATAATGAAGAACGTGGAGAGTGGAACCTTTTACTGTATTTTCTATAACGACGTTCTACAACTTTATGTAACAAAAAATAGAATAGCAAAAAGGTCATTATACCGAATTGCCTATATAGGCGGGAAACTAAATAGATTGAATATTTTTTAAACCAATTTTATAGGCCGGTAATAATTCCGGCAATAAATAAATCCGGCCGTGATGGCTGGTGTCCATCCGTCATACTCGTGAACGAGCGCTGCTTGTAGGGACTGGTCTGCTCTTATCACTACGACTGATTTAATCTTATTGTATATTTATATTTGACCCAAAAAATAGTGCTGGTTGGTAGTTTGTATTCACATGTTTCGACTTGTAAATGAAAACTTACAAGAATTATTTAAAAGAGCAACACACAAGTTTCTGGCTCGTTCTGCTTGTGATGAGACAGCTTTCCGAACGAGCGGTAGATAAAAAAAATTGTTATTACTATTCAAAAGTGCTTAAATTAAGTTTATTTGAATAAATGATTTTCTATTCTATTCTATTCTCAGAGGCAAGACCTCACTATTTGCCTCTGGGAATTATTACATCAAATTGGATTGTAGGCGGTTTTTTCGTGGCGTAAACATGCCTAATAATTATTACGTCAAATATTTACTTCAGATTTTTGTGCCGCATAAATTATAAACTTTATGCGTCACAAAAAATGTAAAGTAAATATTTATATATACTTACCTTTTTCAAATGTCTTAGATATTATTCTACTTATTAATTGTATATTGTAAGTTATTATCTTATCATATGTTCATATCTAGAAACATATATTTACTGGTCTTGTCGCCAACGTCTGACTTGTCAGACGACATGGTAAACAATGAAGTTAATCAATAAATACAACAAAGAACAAATGAAAGATTTTTATAAACATACACATACATTAAATAATATCGAATATCGATAGGTAAGTAGGTACTAATATGGAAAACCGATAAAATTGTAACAGACTTTATGATCATAAACACATACAGAAACAATATGTATATTACAATAAAATCTTCATCTGGCAGTTACTTAGATTGCAATTCAGTGCGTCACAATTTGCACAGTTATATCTATAGTGCAATGCAATGTAAATGCAGATAAACAAAAGTCACTTAGTCTGTACGCACATGTTGTTTTGTCATCAAGTTTCCGTTGTTTTTGTAATTGGAGCTGAGACAAGCTGATGGATCATTTGTATAGATGTTATATATAAATAATTATACATAAAATTCTCGTGCCACAATATTTGTCACCATACTCCTCCAAATTGACCGATTGTTATGAAAGATTATATGAATATTCAGTAGCTCTGAGAATTTGTTACTATCTATTTTTGATTCCCTTAAGTGTCCACCGCTAACATTTATTTATAGGTTTTGGACAAATATTAATTTTTTTTTATTACTTGGCATTAAAAATACATACAAGCGTAAATTTTCACCGTGTTATCACTAATCCCTATTATTAATAGCTATTTTAATTTATATGGCAAAACAATGTTTGCCGGGTTAGCTAGTATATGTATATATACGGGTTCGCCGATATATATCAATTGATTTTTTTTTTGTCTTCTAAACTAAAAATTAGGGAGAATAATCTTTACCCTGGCAACACGTAGCGAAAAACTACAATTCAGAATAATTTAGAGTGTTTCCCAAAATGGCAACCTCATTTAATATTCCCAAAAAATTCCCTTTAACTTACTACTTCTTTTGAAATTCTTTTTATTGAAATTCAAACCTTAACTTCATATCATATAAGGTTTATTTTACGAAGATGATGATGTCCCACTCATAGGTGTCCAAGAGGTCAAGTCAGTGTTATAAATTACTATCCTGTATTCCACAGACTAATCTCGTCCTTCAATCGAAACACTGCTTACAAAGAATAATGCTTACTTCTTCAAATCCGATCCGAAATCGAGACTGATCCGCCACGCAGACGATTTTTTTGTCTACTTCGGTTAAAATTACTAATGTTATTTACAAAATCAACACATCTTAATGCGTTTTTTAGTAAATAACCCTAGACAATGAAGACAGCGCAATTAGTCCCACGGTAAGCAGAGCTTGTGTTATGGGTACTAGACAATTGTTATAAATACTTAGATTTTTTTGTAAATACATATATATAATATAGATAGATAACACCCAGACCAATACAAACAATCATATTCATGAATACAAATGTTTGCACTGTGCGAGGAATCGACAATCGACTTGCGAACATCGCAAGCAAAACAGTGTGGTAAAACTCTAGACCACCGAGGCTGTCAAATCGCCCTGCATTCATTGCACAAAATAAATGATGCAAGGCATACTCGTATTTGTAGCAGTTTATTCGAATGGGGCAGGTACTTACCCGCCCATCGAACAACCAATCCTCACGCTTGGTTAAATGATTACGTTAAGAATAGAAGGCGCGTCCATTATACATTTTTATGTAGGTAACTGCGCTCATGTTTCGGGTTTTCCCCGTTTTAATTTAGTGTTACCAACGTAGCGGCGGGCTTTTATTATACTGTAATTTTTGTGTTATTCAATATTCGAGTATATATTTATTAAGGGTATTATCCCTTTGGTAATATGATTCAATCGTTGAATGATTTAATTAATGTCATAGAAATATAGATACTCGCAAAAGTAACTAAAAGTACCAGAAAATACTTGCGGTTTCCCCAATGGAGGAGGAGTTAATACAAATGTAAAAAATAGTAGCATCTGGCCCACAGTTATCTGATTGATAAGGGGTCTAGATATATACCAAAGCACAAATCGTTTATGACCAGCAAAGTAGAGTGGCATTCGATCACTTTAAAAAAAAATTTGCTTTCGATTAGGTACCAGACACTATTTGAAGTACAGCGTTTG